GAAGCTCCACGGCAGGCACGATTGACTCCGCCATCCACTGGGTAGAAATCTTCGCCTTCACCAATGCCACTGTCATGATCAGCTTCCACCTTCATGAGGGATGGCGACTTTTGTAGAAGTCCAAGTCCGTTGTTTTTCGGACAAGAAGTGTGTTGAAAGGTTGCAAACGCACTTCCCCATAGGCTCAAAAGGCGTACGAGAACAGCCCCAGCCATGATTCGGCCAAAGAAGAGCTCTTCGAAGTTCTACAGAAGTCTTCTCTGGAAGCACAATGCTGCAGATTTACATGCCGGTGAAGCGCCAGAGCCGAGCCAAAAACCGAATCTTCAAAATGCTCGTCTCCGTGGCCACAGAACAGATCGACACGAGCTGCACTCGAGCTACAGTTGCCACTTGAGATGCTGAGGCCCACGGCATGAGGTTCTGCAAAGGGTGCCATGTTTCCATCAAGAATGCAATGCCTTGGCATGAATATCAGCAGTTCGCTACATGATACACAATGTTGTAACACGAAGCTAAGCATTGCACACCACGAGCTCCGATTGCTTTGGCCTGTCATGCCACAGGACTTGGAATCAGCAAGAGATGATCGAGACCAGCTTGTCAGCTAATCCGCCACGTTCTGAGGACGCCGCAGATCAAGGTCTGCCAAAGCCACCCCAGCCAGCAAAGACAGGGGCAAAGCCTTCCAAGCAAAAGTTCTGGTGACAGCATGGCTTTTAGTCAGCTCTGCGATGCCCTCGAGAAGTGACAACATGCACAGGTCAGAACCTGTCTGAGCTTGCTCTAAAGTCTCAGCTTCGAACTCGCTTCTGGTAGAACGTGGCCTCTCTGCGACCCAAAGATTCCTTGTCAGATCTGCTTCGTCGAAGGCTACGTGCCCGGAAATCAATGTGGGCGCTGCTTTCCAGAGTTTATCGTCGAAGTCTTCGCCCTCCAGTGTCGGCAGGCCATCACATTACAAATATGCTGAAGCTTCCATGAGGCCTCCTCCCAGTCTATCTTTTTGGTGCGCCTTAGCAAGAAGCAATGCTAAATAGCTTCTTCGAGAGACATGTTCGGTCTGGTTTCTGCTAGGAGAGGGGGCAGGAAGTGCATCATCGAGACATTTTTGCCATGCACCCAAAAGGCAACGCATGCCTTAATAGAAGCAATGAGTCCGCAGCAAGTCGAAAGGGCTCATCATCTGAATCTTTGGTGTGGACCAGGCTTCTTCCTCAAAGCAGCGCAATCACGCAGGCCCGCCCCCGAAGTTCGATCTCGGGCTGCTTGCTATCTCTGCTTTCTGTGTGGCTTGCTTTACCTGAACATCGAAGTTCGAAGCACATGGTGAAAGGACCGCGCACGCTGAAGGGCCTCCGGCAGCTGCTCCACGGCCTTTTCTTTGTCAAGTGCTGCAGACCACATCTTCTTTTGCTTGTCGTCCTTGGAATCGCACAGTGTGGGAGCATCTACGTCCGGACAAGCAGCTCCGGGGCTGGTTGAAGAAAGGTGAGGCCAGCACTGCTTGACGCCGCCGCCTCTTCCACTCCTGCAAGCATCATGTGCCGTGCGTGGCTCCCTGCTTACACATAAGACTAATCGCGGAGCTACTAGCTATGTGTTGTCGAACTAGGGACCGTCGACGTAGTCTCACTGTAAACACTCTGTATCGCTTAGAATTTCAGTTGAATGTGTTGGCTGACAAAGGCTCGGCCTCTCGTTTTTGCGTAGCCAGCTTTGTACCTCGCACCGTCACAACTTGAAGTAAACCTGCTGTGAAGCATGGCATCTGAGCTTCAAATGGCAACGATGTCAGGCAGCGACAGCGAGCGAGACCAACTCCACAGGAGACATGTACCATTGATTACCCGAGCACAGTGGCAGTGTGATTTTCGGGGCTACAGAGAAATCCTTGTTAAGTGCACATCTTTTTGCGAAATTACATCGCCTTGTGATGTCACGGATGCCTCCTGTGAATGCTGGGCTTGATGTGACTAGCCATCTGGCAGAACTTGTGCAAGCCCTAGGCGGCCAAGTCGAGGAGACAGAACTAACAGCAGCGCTGGACATATTCCCGACAAATCGGAGGAAGGCAGGGAGGCAGGAAGCGCGGGAAAACGACAAGCCAGGTTGACCTTTTCTAGCTCTGAATTTCCTGTAGGGAACCCGTCGCACTGGCATTTTTCAGGTTTCAATTTTCTGTCCGGTAGTGCAGCTCTTCTGGAAACGAATCTGCACTCAGCAATAAAGAGGCATTCCGACCCTCGGGCATGCTTCCCCACCAACATCGAATCAGCATGACGCCAAGGGTATCTGCAAACATGCTTGCGAAGTGCAGAGTCGGATCGACCTCTGCAATCTTACAGGGTCGACGCGAAGATGTTGCTTGATGTGGCCTGAGCCATCTTCAGCCTCAAGCAACCCTCGATAGACAACAAGTATCGTTTCATGGTAGGATTCTTCGCGATCTCCCGGCGTCAAGCTCGATATCTGGACTAGACCAAGCATGGATGCAACCACGTGCCTTCTTCGCCCGATGCCTGCAGCTTTACAGCTGCCTGGGCTCGGCTCGTTGGCTGTGCGCCATCAAACATAATTACTCCAAAATCGCAGTTGTGCCTCTTCTGCCTCGTGCCAGTCGCACAGCTCTCCGAGTGCATCAGCTTTGCGGTACAGGGCCTGTGCTCCATCTATACACATCTTATGATGTCCCGTGCTTCGGCTAAGTGCAAAGCTATGCATGACGTGTCGATGGGCCTTCACGTTGCCTGGCTCGTCGAACAAAGCCTCGTCGCAAAATCCGACGGCGTGTCGAAACCTGCACGTGCTTGTATCCTACTGGAGCGTACCACATTGCACACATCAAATGCTCAAACCCCTTCTCCGGCCAGCAATCCTAGGGCTGCGACTTCTTTAGCCTCATGTGCGCCAATGCCTCGACTCTACAAACCGTTGACCTGTGGAGCTCATCAGCTCGCTAGACACTTCGCTTGTTTGTCCTTGGGCGCCTGCGAGATTTAGCAGCAACGCGACTCTCATTTTGAGAACACGGCCATCCTCTTTCTCCTGCTGCCAGGCATCCGAAGGACTGGGAGCTGACGCAAGAGATTCTGTGCTTCTGGAAGTGTAAAGTCTGAGACGACCTCGGCCTCTGCGTGCTTTGAGCCCTGGAGAATTCCAATCCTGTGAGGACTTGCTGCTACCTGGAAAAACTTGAAGAAGCTTGCACCGAGTTCGTCTTGGACGCGTGCAGGCTGCGTGTCCCACTTGGCGGCCTCGCAAGGGATGCCTAGCACTGCGTTCCACGAGGCGCCTTCCGAGTTCGGAGCGGGATGGAGTCCAAAGCTTGCAGCCAGCCTAAAGGCTCTCTTTCTAACTTTGGGCTCCAGTAGCACCCTCACAAAAGCAGCCTCATGTTCAAAGTCGGCGGCATGTAATGGCTTCATTCACTTCGCCGCGAGCGAACTTGTCCTTGCCCTGGCCTTTGAGATGGTCCTCGGAGCCATTGGAAGAAAGAGGACTCTTCCACAGCTCGCTTGGCGATCTTGACGGCACTCTGAGCACCCGTGCAGCTTGCTCATAACCAGGAAGTTCCTCGACATCCTGCTCTCAATCGCGCTCCCAGCACCCCTCTTTCTTTCATGCTCCATGCAGGACGACTCCACCAAGTAGAAACATGTTCCGTTACCTGGCTGGCTTAATACACGTCAGTATGCTATTATACTCAACAGCAGGAGTTTCTGACGCTCAGTGGGTTGGGCCCCCGCGTTGGCAGTTTTCCGATCAAACTGACTAGACACGTATGACGTGTCGCCCCGAAAAGTTGCTGGCCTGAAGGGGGGTCTGCGCTTTCTGCCATCGTTTGCTTGGTGCAGCTCACTTCAAATCAACTACCGCGCGACGTTTTTATGCTTGATGGGCGTGGTGACATCTGTCAGCAAGTCCGTCACTGTGCAACACGTAAAAGCGGCAAACAGCCGCAACGAAACCTACCATGCGCGTCGTGGCTGGCCTTGGAGCGATGGCTCGCTACATTCAGTAGCACCCTCGCCGAGTGCAAGGACCAACCCAGGTGCCTCGACCGATTGAGGCCTGTACAATCGACACAATGCAGGCATGGAGCTTTCAGTCAGCCTTTGGCTTTCAACTGTCTGCTCCGCAACTTGTAGGATAAACCTTTCGAAGTTACAGAAGAAGGCTCGCGAAGTACTGGCATTGTCCACTAGAGTTTCCGGCTAGATGCCGAACTCTCAGGATGCATCACACCTCCCATTTCTACCATTCAGTGGCTCAGCCGAATGCTTTGAACAATTCTCCTCAGCTTGTATTCACTGCTCGCGAAGAAATCCCACACCAACACTTCGATTGTTCGACGGACAACAAGCACTCAACCGCAAAGGTAAGGTTCGAGTGGTCTGAGCGGGCAAATCCTGCCGAGGGATCGTGGCCATCGCCTCCAAAAGCGTCAGCAGCTGCGCGGACTCACCCTGCACGGCATGCACAACACTCTGAGCTGTGGATGTGGTCTGTAAATCGGAGTCAGGTTCCAGGCGACATTTCTTCTGGGAGACGAAGACTGATTCATCCAAAAGGTCTAACCAAATTCTTATCCCCTGAAGTCTCCGTACCATGCATCCCGTTGATGCTCAGGGCCTTGTGTGCTTGTGGCCGATCGGGGTGCACTGTTGCATCCAAACCCCTGCGCGACGGATGTCTTATGAACGGTACATGTGGGAACGGGAGCACCATCTGGCCGAAGAAGGGTCCACATGCAACTGCATCTGTGGTCTATAGCTGTACTCAACACTTGCACACCCGAGGAACCGGGTGCCTGGCAGAAGATTCCTGCAAGCACGGCTGCATGAGTGAGTGCGGCTCTCTAAATGGAGCGAAGTCCCAACACGACAAAAAGTGCTGCTGTTTGTCTCTACGCATGAAAAATCATCCCGGAAGAGGCTCAGCTTAACAGGCTCGATAGGGCGGTAAGAGTCCAATCCCGAAAGCAAAGAAACTTCGCTTGGGTTCCAAGTCTCCAGGGTATTCTTCATTCAACGAGAAAGTTGCTCGAACAAGGAAGAACTGGTGCTGGCAGTGCATTCGAGACTGTGCAGAGTGTGATGCCCACAATCAGCACCACCGCCTTCCACAACTGGATGCAACCATGTCTCTGTACATTTCATTGAAGGAGTAGCCAGCAAGTTGGCAAAACGTGGTTCACGTGCCCAAGCATCAAGAAAGAATCGACGAGGACGGGCCCCGCGTGAGAGGAGCAAGCTGATCACTTCGCGGTTGCCTGCCTCCCCAGCGTAGGTCAATGCCTCGCATGCAATTTTCTCGACATAGAAGTGACCGGGCATGACCGGGTTCACTCATATCTCGCTGTTCACCATGCTGACAAGAAGCTGTGCCACCCTGCTTGTCAACAGCATCCAGCCCGCATTTGCAAAAGATCAAGAATTGCGCGATACGAGTTTGCCTTTGTCTGACATCATGAACCACTACTTTGCATATCTCGCTTGTTTTCTGTCTTTTTTCGACAGCTCCCTCTTCCTCTAATTGAGCACTCTAGTTGTACTCCAAGCATCGATTGCTGGCACGGATTTCCCAATGCATAGAAGAAGCAACTCCTCGCCAACAACCTAAACACCCTTTCTGCCAGGTCATTTTGAGTGCGAAGCTACCACCACAAGCAAAGCCTCAACTGGTGCCTTCTGCTCTAGTGCTTGCCCATCATATGTTTTTAGCCGCACCGATTTTGGTGTCGGTGGGACACGCGCCACGACTGTGCTTAGCCCATCGATTTGACACACGTCTGTTTCTAGATCTGCTTGGCCCATTGTGACTCGAAGGGCTCACGCACCCTGGTCAGCTGTTCAGGCGGCCACCTCTTCCCATGGCACTCCTCATCTCAACTTCGCCGAGCCCATCATACAACTAATCTGGGCGTCGAGCCTGCAACTGTTTTTCCAGTTCATGACAGAACTCTGCTGGAGACATGACTTTTAGGCTGTAGACGAAAGCCCGTTCATGCCATGTGTGTCGCGACAGGAAGCAGTGAAGTTCGACAGCGGAACCACGCAAGTTATGCAGAGTGGGCATGGATGTGTACGCCGACGACACAAACGTCTCGGACATTGTCTGCTCTCTTGTGCAGCGAACCTGGACATCTGGCACATTGACAACTGACAAGCAATTCTGCAGGATAAGGTGGCAAATTTCTGATGCAGGTGTCCTGCCCTCCGCATCCCTGGCATGTACCGAAGATGGGGTGTGCTCGGCCAACAATTGGACCACTCCTAGATGCAGCTTCGAAAGGTTTGCACTTGCAAAAGGCTCTACGGACGGGATAAGTATGCTGCAAGTGGGTGCGGAGGTGAGGAGGTGGCATCAAAAAGGACTGCTAGAAACACAAGATCAGAGCCAAGGCTCTGACATCGTTCAAACAAGCAACATGCACAGCGTTCCTCCCCATGTGGTCCACATCAAGGGGATTCGCGCGCCATTGCTTCAAGAGCCGCCTCGAGTGTTGTTAGTCCGCTTCCCTGGGCTCGTCTGGCTATCGTTCATTGTCTGCTTGCAGACCCACAGATTTCTGATGCGTGGGAATCATTGAGATCAAGCTGCTGTGTAAGCTCCGCGTGGCCGTATAGGGCTGCTCGTGCAAGCAACGTTGCTCCATTGCGGTCTCTGATGTCGGGGCTGACGCCCGCTCGCAAAAGGAGCTCCTCGGCAGGAGAAAAGACAATGATTGCATCAGCTCTTCGCACGTCTGTCTCTGCATAAATTGGACCTGCTGCCATGCTTCGCAGCAAGCAGTGTGGCCTTTTCCTGCTGCCAGGTGTGCACAGACACCACCCAGCTCAGGAGTCAGCGGACCCTCCGATCCACGTTGAGGTACGAGCAGCCGGCGAAGCCTGGCAGCGTATGTCTACCCGTAGAATTCCCGGGTGTGAGGCTGTGCTGCGCTGGGACTTGGTTTCGAAGTCAACTCCAAAGGGGCCGCTTAGCTCCCGGGTTTGCGAAGTCCATCACAGTGAATTTTGTTCAGGCCACTACTCTGAAGGCAATTTCTTGTAACTTTTTTTAGTAGCTTCCGCAGTGATTTGGCTCTTGTCACTTTCCGGCTGCTTACAATTCCGCCCTACTATATTGGCCAGGCTGGCACGAACAAGTTCCAATTTTGCATCGGAGCTGTGCGTGCATCTACACTGCAACTAGCGTATGTGGCATCCTTACACGGTCCGCAATGCCGCCTTGGAAACAGTGACTTTCTCTTGCGCCAGGGCCGACACCCTTTTTGACATTTAATTTTCCCTGTTTTCCTGCTTCGGTGGCCAAACCAAACCCGGCATCTTCGAGCGGCCCGGTTTTGTAGTACTTCTTGGCTGGATTTGCCTACATGCTGCCTGTCGCAGCCTAGTTCGCAGCTTGAAATGTCTCCTAGCCAAGACTTCGTGACTCTCGCACAGCAGATATTCATTATTCACTTTCGTGCGAGTTGCTCCTCTTGTCCTCATTTCGATGGATGAAACATATCGTCGCCACATACAAGCTTCTGAGCAGTGTGAGGGTTTAGGGCTCCGAAAAATAATCCGTCCGAATGCGCACTCAAACGCAAACTATGAAGTTCACAAAAGAACGTGCCAAGTGAAGGCTTGACTTGGTGATCCTACGTGCACACTTCGCCGTGACCTCGGCAGATCACCTCGCCGGCCTCTGCTGGGATGCAGTGGGGTTCATGTGCAGTTGGATTCATGGACACCACTCTAGGAGTTTTTGTTGGATTCAGTCATGTGCAGCTGGGGTACAAGCAACGAGTATCTTGTCCTCTATTGGCACGCTGGTGCTTCGCACAGTTGCATTGAAGACCACCTCCACGAGCAGTTTAACTTTGTGGTGGTTTGCATCAGTTGCACTTGCTCTGACATGAGTTCCTGGGGCCAGCCTTTCTGCCTTCTGCTGGCGAGGCGGATCTCGAAGCACTAGGACTCTCAGCCTCGCAAATCGTTCATCTCGTGGGAGGTGGGGTGGGCCCAGCTTCGTGTTGAATTGACTGCCCTTTAGTTTACGAGGCTTCGAAAAACGATGAGATACGACAGTTGAATCAACTGCGCTGCAGTCTAGACTCCAACGTTCCTGTGCTCGCAGCCAGAGTTGCAGCGGTGGAGCCAGTGTCTGCGAAGCTCCGATAAGCCTCTGCAAACTTTCGCCGAACAAGAAAACGTTCCTCATAGGTGAAGTTGGTGCGCTTTCGCTCCCGGGATGAGTCCAAGGTTCTGTCAACGGTTTTCCAGTGATCGGCGAGGGCACCGGCGGATCTGCCAGTATGTAGTCCACCAAGTCACCTCGGCAGGCACAAATAAGCCCAAGCTGCCTTTGACATACGTGCTGCAGGTCCAGTATGCGGGAACCGTGACCGTGGTCAATGTAGTGGAATGCTCGGCTTGGGAAAACTGCTGTGTAGATTCTTGAAGGGGCTTGGATCTTACCCCTACCCGACCCGGACATGCGAGCGGCGCGGAGGGGGGACAAAGGTCAATAAAGAAAGGTCCTCGTGATTCCTCGTGTCTGGGGCAGCTTGCAGTAAGTCAGTACTGTGAGACCTGTGATTTCTCCTTAAGGTGCCTCCCCCCATTCATACCTCCTGGCCCGAAAGCAACATCCAGTACTTCTCTGCAACTGTGTTTGCCCCAGGTTCCTGGGTTTCGTTCCTGGGTGTTCGAACCACCTTTCCACTTGTACTGGATCCTTGTGTTTGGGTCAAGTGGGAATAATACTTCAGTTTACTGTTCTCCCAGTTGTGGGTCCTGGGCTCACAGGATTACAGAAAGGAACGCTTCGGGGCGGCATTTTGCATGCGCAAGGTTTCGCGATGTTCTGTGGATTGTCACGGTTCCGCATTGGAATGGCTTCAAAATTGTTCCATGTGAAAAAGGCTGAAAAAGGTCAACATCTGCGCGTTCCGCCTTTTCAATTTAAACCCCGGCCTGTCTAGAAGTCTAGCCTTGCCGGGAACCGGACCACAACGACTGACGGAACCTGGCAGCTTGCACTATTTTGCAAATTGGGATATAGGTCTTGAAAGCATTCGAAGACCTTCTCAATTTCGTTAGCGCTTCGAGCAAGCCACCGACGCGCACAACATCGGCATCTTCAAACGCCAACCTCAGTGGCACATCATGCAATGCACAACTTTGCCCGCATGCCGCTGAACTTAACTTAATGCTCCTTCTTGTTTCTGTCTGCGAGCAGGCTGCATGTCGAATATTCCGGCCAACTCTTTGTCTGACACGTCGCATGCAGGAACACGGAGCTTGAGGCGTACAACTCGGCGAACTTGGTCAGGGCTAAGCAAGCCTCTCAACGGGAAATGTGGGCCGGAATGCAAGCGCTCGCCGGAGGCCAGGCTGAGGCCAGGTCAAGACAAACGCCAAACAACTTTACGAACTTCTCAGACCGTCGAGGCCTCTCCTTTCCACGTCGAGTTTACGCCACAATCCTTAGGCATCGAAAGCAAGAAGTGCTCATCCGCAAAAGAAGCCTTTTCATGCTTTGTGCTGGCGGGGCGCGGTCCGCGACTTGATCGGGGACACAACCGCCAGTATATGCTCCGCACCGCAGACTGCGCAACAGCCAACAGCATGCTCGGCACTGTCAGATGTTGAAAGCATGCGAAAGTCCCAAGCCTTGTGACAACATGCCCTCCATGAAAATTGGAAACGGACTGAATTGCAACGAAGCCGACGAGTGACAATGGCAAGCCTGCGAAATGTGAACAGCAACCGGCAAAGCTAAGTGGTGAATGCGCAGATTATGACTGTGAGTACATCTACTATCATCATCCATCGTACAAGTATGAGTGTTTAGTCTGATGAGCAAGCTTTGCAGGCCTACGATACTGCAAAACTTTCATTTCTTACCGTTTGTCACGCAAGTCTGCCATTAGCCTCAGGGGGGCTTGGGATCCGTGCCTTGTGCGAATGTTCTCCACTTCCCAGGCCGGGAGGCTCTGGCACCTCTCATCTTCAAGACCAGGATGCGCAATCCCTATGGCATCACAAGGACAGACAGAAACAAACATGCAAACACTGCACATCTCTTCGTCTACTTACTGCTCTGCAGGCCAAGTCTCACCCTCGACCGCGGACGATCTTCCAACGGACAGCTTGGCGCGGGCAGCTTGCGGGTGTTTCGCCTGCCAATCTCTGCGTGGTCTCTCGGGCAAAGATTTGCAAGCAACTGGCATTTTCCGGCCTGGGTGAGCGCACGGATGAGCTTTCCCAAAGCTCGCGCGGTGAGTCTGTACGGTGTGTGTAGCGTCTCCAATTCGGTGATGGAGGCCTGGTCCTTGGGCGGCATCAGTATTATATGCATCATTACAATCACAGCCACACGCACCATAACCCATCATCACCAGCATCATCAGCAGAACCACGGGGAGGATGGTGATGTTCTTTCAGCAACATCACCAGCACAAGTGTTGACAATCACCAGCACGTTCATCCTCCTCCTCCTCATGGCTTCCTGAACTTGCGGTCGGTAATGCAGTATGCCATGTGTGAACAGGAAGATTTTGCGGGACAACTCGACAGCTGACTTCCCAGCGAAGTTGCTCAGCGTTCTCCGGTCGCAACGCTTCCCAAGTGTCAGCTGCGTCCGGCATCTTGGCCAGTGCGATTTTTTTGCCGGACTTACTACATTGTAAGCACGTTACAGCATGTGCTGGTCTCATGGTGGATCACGGGAGTGATAATCGTTGCTGCATGCTGCTATTTAGTGCATGCTGCTGCTGCTGCTGCTGCTGCTGCTGCTTCTGCTCTGCTTCCATTGAAGTGCGTGGGTGTGACTTGCCGTGATTCCCATGCGGTTAGCTTCTGATAATCAATGCGTGCAGGCAAGCTATCGCAACCGGTCTGATGCTGTCACATCCTGCATCTGGGAGTCTACGCATCACCAGCCTGCTATGAAACTGCGACTTTTGGTTTCATTTCGTCGGCCGCAACAATGGCTGCAACATGTACAAGTTGCAGTGGCAAGATGAGATCTACACCGGCAGTCTCCAGTCATGCTCTCCAAAACCCCTCTGCTGATGCAACATTGCCGGTAGCTGCATGTGCTCTGCTCGAGTCTGTAGTGCCTTCGGCTCCTGAGCCTCTTTGTCAGAGCTGAGCACGGCCTTACGAAGCTCTCGCGCGGAACTGAGCTTTGACTTTCTTCTCAGGTTGTTGGGAGCACGTGTCCAGCCTTCTCCGGCTCTTGGTGCACCTCATCGCTTTGCCTGGCTATGCACCCCAATGTTCTGCTTTCGCTTGTTTAACACGGCGGGATACATCGACGATGATTGCAGGCAGCAAAACTCCGAGATTAGAACCAGAGCTGTGGCCTGTCGAGGCTTGTAGAGCTGCACTGCACCTCACTTGGAGAGCTGCTGCTCTGCTGCTTCAATTCCAGGAACTCGGAACTAAGCTGCAGTGTGCTTCTGTTCCTGTTTTTCTGCCACTCCAAGGCAAGCTGTGGCAGTGAGGCCTTTTTTTCCGCTACCTTTCAGCGGGCATGCATGGTTCGCCAATCAAACGCCAGGGATGGCATCCTGAGTGAGGGTCTGGATCTTCTCAGACACAGGTAGTACTAATTACTCCATCCCTTCGCTGAAAAATGTCGAAGCGATTTCTTGAGACAGTCTTGTGCAGGCCGCTGGCCCAGGCAGCTTGGTGCTGATCTCTGGTTTTGGGGGCCGCCTTGGCCATCTTCGGCCTCAGGTGAACTACGATATGCTGAGCCCTTCTCCAACATGCCCAAGTAACCCTATATACTAGCTGTCTTGCATTCGCCTCACCTTTCAGTGCAGTCCGACCACGCTGCGCGTGCGCCACGGGGTGGTGAAGAAGTCGCAGAGCTGCTTGGGGAAAACGCTCCCACAGCTCGGCCGTAAATGTCACACCACCCTGTTCCGGGGATGTAGAAAAGATCCTGACCGCGGCGGACACTGTGAAAGCTCGCCCCAGGAGTGAGGCCCCAGCAACTCACTGAACGATGCCTCCTCCTCGCGGCCCGCCGGGCGCGGCGGCTCGACGCTCTCTGCAACAGGCATCGCAGGCCTCAGGCTCACGCAATGTCCCGAGCTGAATGCTCTGCAGTCTGCATTCATCCACTTGCAGAGCAAGCCAACTAAGCCCTTCATGAGAACAGAAACTCATAGTGCAAGCAAGCTTCTTTGGCTTGGCCTCTTGCAGTAAACCTTTTGCTCGCATGGCGGCAATCCTGGTGGCTTCTGCTGGCGTCAAATGTGCCGTTGGAGCCTGAGATGCTCGATCTGCTCCTCTACCTTACTGCTATTTACTGCTTGTTGCAGCTGCAGCGCCACTTCGGGAAGCTTCTCCGCCACGAAAGTCTCAGCTTGAAGAGGTGGTTCTTCTCCCCGTTCTTGCATTTCCCACGATGCAGCCTGAATGATCTCTTCGAGTCCCATTCAAGCTCCATGTCAGGAAGCCTATATAGACAGTGGCAGCCCCTCTTCCAGCCTGGCTCTCGATTGGAGCTTGCGCTCGTGGTACTGCTTGTGGTGCACCCAGTTGCTGAAAGCCTTCCTTGATACACATGATTCCAACATCGGACACTGTGCGGTGAAACAATCTACCACTGACGTGGCCATGCAATTGAACCAATTGGCAGCCAGTGCCACCGAGTCTTTGGAGGGCAGTCCGCTTCAACCACTCAACATCACTCAGCCCACATGCGTGCCAATTCGGTCCATTCCGACGTTGGTTCCATGTGTCTTGACTCATGGATGGTCAAGCTGACCTGATTATCCATCTCCGGATGCCTACAGTACCATAGCCTACCTTTTGGTGACCCGGACCCCATTCCTTAGCACTCCTCAGCCAGGAGTCAGGACTGGGTGTGGGTGGCCTATCATCCCAATCCAGCGGTGCCTCATGCTCTACAAATTGTCGGCAGCCGCGCAAGTTGGGAACCGAACTGACTGACAGCCAGAGAAATGATGCCACGCCACTTCTGGACCTTCTGGATAGACTCCTTGTCGGGCCCAAAGACAAACAAGCTACTGAAAGGTGCAGTGTTAAGTGGCCATGGGTTTAGACTTAAGTGACAGTCGTAGTGAACTACACATCAAACACTCAACTGCGATATCTCATAGCAGGGCTTCCATCGCGAGCCGACAATCCCAGTTTTCAATTAACTGTCACGTATGTCGGCCCAAACTAGACATGTATTCTCGATGATATTATTTTGCTGCGCGCTCGCCCCTGTCAGAAAGATGAGCATAACTCTTGGAACTTCAGCTTGCTTTGCCCATCCTCACTTTCCTCTGGTTGTAAGCTGGCGATCGCTTCCATATCTACGACCAACCGGAGCAAGAAGAGGCAGACTTCGGGCTTGGCTTAGGTGTAGATGTTATGGTTAGGTATTGCAAAGTTGAATTCGATGAAAGCTGTAGGCGGACCAATTTTGCTTGAGGAAATCTTCCAAATCTTCCTCGGGTTTCAAACTTCTTGAGACGCTCTTCGCAGTGGCTTCGCTGGATCGCACCCGAGCCTGCAAAAGCAACAGACTGGGAGACAACTTTCTGTGCTACCTCTTGAGGATGTCTCCAAACGAAACAGGGCCACTTGACAGAACACTCGTAAGTTGACGTCCCAACCCTGGTGGCTGATTGTGCGTTGATTCATGGTGGTTGAGGCTTCTGAGGCCAAAATCGTCTTCATTCGTCTTCAATCCGCGCCCTATACCTCCCCGCACTTGGCATGCAACATGCTTTCTTGATGGAGTTTGAACGCTTAGCGCTGTTGGTCCTCGGCCCGAGTCTGGCGTGTCTGGCCGCAACATCGTTTGCACCGCCTGAGGCAAGGGCACGGGTGCGCAAGCAAGAGAACTTGCGCTCCGGCGCTGTGCTCGCTGAGTTGCTGGTTGATGGCACCGCAGCGCTGCAGCGCTCGGTGCCTGATCAGCAGCCAGGAGCAATTCTCAGACTCCAGGTGACGACGGAGCCTCTCCCAGGAAATCGAGCAGTGCCGCCGGAACGGCCCTCTCCTCTGCATCTGCAGGCTTGACCAATGCAACTTCCGGCCTGAGTCTCCAACAAGATTGCGCGTTGGTCGTGGCGTGTCTGTGGTAGAAATTCTGCCAGAGATGCGTGTTGCCAGCGCTGCTCTGATGCAAGCTTCGTTTCTCCACCAAGTCCCTGCGCAAGGCCGGGTGAAACTGCACCAGTGACGAGGCTGGCGTGTTGCAAACGAAACTGCTTCGGATGTGATTACTCAGGACCACAGACTTTCGGCCTGATTAGGCTTGTGATCTCGTCGGCGGGTGTACCGTCGGAAGCCGCAGCGATGTCGATTAGCAACGGTGGAGAACATTCAATGTGGACAGTCAAGAAATCACACACCACACCGTCTCCCTGGGCAGCAGAGCTCATGGCGATTCTAAATGCCAAAGTCCTCAGTCACGGGCTTCTGTTCCGATGTCATGTCTCAGGCCGCGCACTAGATGCCAACTATAAAGCTGAGTTTGCTGCGCGCCAGCTTCCAGCACGAAGTTCTTGCCCACATGCTCAGAGCCCACAGACAACATGAATGGTGGCCCCGGCGGCTCTATTCGCAGTGGCAGTTCTCCTCAAGCAGCACTCGAAGAGCCCATGGCCGCCGCCCGAAAGCAACATGGAACAAGCACGGAGGATAAGCACCAGGCTGCAAGACAGCATGCTTACCAGCTACATAAACCCAGTACATTGCTTCGCATACCGGTGTCTGTAAGCTGAAGGGGCAAGGCTAAAAGCGAAACAGAGGACGGATTCACAATCCGTCGCTACCTGCCGAGCGAAGAATCAGCACCGCAGGGAGAAAGAAACTCACCAGCACGATCAGCGTCCTGCTGAAATGTTTCGAAGCAGCAAGTTTCTCGTGCTTCCACCGCCAGCTGTGAATCTAAGATGTCTCGGCACGGCGTCCAAAAGATGGTGAGCCATGGCCAGTATTGGACACCTAGAACATCCTAGATCTGCAAGAACGTTCTGCGATGGTATGAAGACGTTTTTTGCCTGTGTCTGTGTGTGTGTGTGGTGGTGGGGCTGCAGCCCCCAGCATGCCTGTTAAATGTACCAGTCTGTGGACTCAAGACGTTCAGGGTGTGGGGCATACAGGTGCGATGCATGGTTACCGTTTGCTAGCAAGCTGAGTCTGCAACCTGAGGCAACCTTGCTTGACAAACGCCGATGTGACAAGACACAAACAAACATTCTTACCGGTCGCCGTGTGCGCTCGCCGAGGCATCTAGAACCCAGGAACTGCCATTGCAGAATATGCGCCAACAGGAAATCCGCTTCTTTTGCCACGTCGAGCATTTCATGCTCTTGGTACCACTGGTGGACACTGCAGCCCCAATGTCAGACCTAAAGCCCGGCGGCTACTGATCGGGTAGTGCATGGACGGCTCATTACCACAAACAACCGAAGCACTGCTCTCTTAGACCTCAAAGATGCTGCCTGTACAGCTGTCGGCCAACGGCACCACATTGCGAGGGTGCCCGCCCTGTGATGCAAATGTGGCAAAGCCCGCCATCAGCAAGCACTTCCCGTGAAACATTCGCAGCCCACAGCTGCTACACACCCGATGAGGACCTTCACAATCGCAGTTTGGTGGTGAAGTTGTTAGGACTGATTCCGCTTCGCGAATGCAGTCTTTCTTGTTCGATGACCTCAACCAATCTCTGCTGATTGGTAACGATGGTAACGACCAGCTCAAGCTCTGTTCGGACTTTTGCAATCTGGGTCCGCAACGCGAACAAATCCACAGCTTTTGCCGGCCCCCGCAGTCTGGCGCAGCCGTCCAAGAATTCGCTCGCTTCGATCTGGTGGTCTTCATTGTAATCAAGACTTTGAAAAAACCTGGGCTGTTATTGCACGCTGCTTCACGTCTAAAAGATTGTGGTTTGTTCCCGTTTCAAAACCTGAAATACTGAACATTATGTTCACGAGCGGCCTAGAAACGTCCAAGCATCATGTGCACCGAGATCAAGGGCCTCAAAAACTGCCCGAACTTCGTCGTCTCGGAAATATGCTTCGAACTTTGTGATGTCAAGCTTTCCAGTGCCGTCGCTGTCCATCTTTTGGAACAGCTTCCCCAGCAAACAATCCAGGCGTTGCTTGTCCATCATCAACGTCTGCACTGCCATTTCTGCATCTCTCTCTGCCCCACGTATAGCAGCATTGCAGAAAACTCCAGTCATGACCTTTCTGACTAACTAACTAACTTTGTTCCGGT